GGGTTTCAATTTTGCTTTGAATTTCGTTCTTTTTCGCATTTTTTATTCTTTTAAATCTTACGATTTGATTGGCTGAATAGCATGTGACAATACATGAACTTCGTGTAACATTGGACGGTTCCCCCTGTTGCCAGATGATCATTTGTTCTCTTGAATTTGTCGAATAATGGTGTTGTTCCTCCGAACAATCAGAAAAGCTAGCTTATACTTCAAACCAGACCGGACGGATCTCAGTACGGATCCGTATCGCCCAATTATGGGTCCGAACCCAGTCCGCCCACGGATCCGAGCGGATGGGCGGGCGAACCCGGATCTTTTGTGGAACACTAATACGAAGCGACGGGTTATATATTATACTATATAGTATATTTTATTATTGCTTTGGAATGTTCCAAGACGAAATGTACAACATTGCTCATAACCACGTGAATTCAAGAGCATGCTTGGTCTAATGTCATTTACATTTTCCGTAGTGCACTGACTAAAAACCCGGGATATAAACAAAAGACTCGTTAATGTACAAAGGATTTATGCCATAAAAAGGAAACTTTTTTAGATACACGTTTTTTTTAACATTAAATTTATTGTCATAAATAGACATTCTAGAATTTAAAAACCTGCTGAAGCCAACATAGTAAAATATATTATACCGATACCGATACGGACATCCTTAAAGCAGAAAAATAATGGTTACTATTCCGTAATATCATTTAGTCAGTGTGACAAGTTGACAAATGACTTGTACATGCATGTTTTTAAATTATACTGTTATATACTAAATTGCGTGTATCAGTACAAACATTTTTATTCACGATTTTGAATTCAAAAACCAAGGAATGGATACACACATCCCTTCTCGACCCGTTGATCGTGAAAAAGCAGAACACGATCTTTCAATCAACATAAAAAAGGCCACGAGCCCTGAGGAAACAGCTCCAAAACAGAAACATGTTCGAAGTGAGTACATAAAATTAGCATAGTCTTTTGATTCTTTATTAAATAAGTCGATTTTCAACTACAGAATGCATTGTATATACGTGGGATTATCATACTTCGGAGTCGATTTGGACTGGGCTTAAAGTTTTGCCAATTTTAACCGATGAAGTACAAACTTTTAAAGCTTTAATAAGCGTTCACAAAATTATTCGAGATGGTCACCCTTCTGTATGCATGATTTTCAGTTACATCATTGATCGTTCTTTAAATGAGTGCTACCAAGTAAAAACCACTGTTTTTAAATTTTTAATGTTTCAGCCTTAACCTCGCAGAAATATCTGATTTTACCAAATACGATGAGAATTTAAAATCAGTACTTAAAGGTTTTTACTTAGCAGCACTCAAATTTTAATTATTTGACTGACTGACTGATTGACATATAATATATATTTAAGGCCTTGAAAGAAGCACTAAATCAAACTAACTGGCTTGACTCTTGCTACCGTTCTATCAATGGAGATGGTGTACGAGGTATCAATCCTTAGCTTTATTTAACTATTATTATTACCACTGTAAAAAGTCAAATTAATGAAATAATCGATTAACAGGTTATGGTATACTTATTCGCAAATATGTCGAATTTCTCAAGGCTAAATTGGATTATCATCGTCATCATCCGGAATTTAATGGAAATTTTGATTACGAAGATTATATTAGTTTAAAAAATGTGGACGACCCTAATGAAGGGTAAGCGTAACTTAACTATCTTGTTTAATCAATTTTCATTGAAATTTAATTTCAATGCCTTGACTTTAGATATGAGACCATCAACGACTTGATGAATTTACAAGATCAGATCGATTCATTTCAAAAATTAGTTATTGCACAATTTCGAGGTTTATCCAATAACGAATGTCGTATAGCTTCTCTTGTGCCATTAGTAGAAGAGAGCCATGGCATTTACAAATTTTTAACCAGCATGCTTCGAGCCATGCACAAACGTACCGATAATGTAGATGCATTAATGCCTCTTAGAACTCGATATAATGCACAGCACTATGCTCTATTGAAGTTCTATTATGACTGCTCTAATTTGAAATATTTGACGAGCTTGGTTACCGTGCCTAAGCTGCCACAGGTTTGCCTAATTGTGCATTATAAGATTTCCTTGTCGCTGTAGTTAACATAATTATGTTTACCTTAACATAAAGGACCCCCCTACTCTAATCGACAATAGTGTACCACCGTTACCGAAGCGTCCTCAGTCAAAATCACCCGCACCATCATCTTATTCAGAACCTGAACCTATAGCAGAATTCTGGAAAGAAAATGAGGCTCAAAAACAACAAGAGCTAGAAAGACAAAGGCAATTATATGAAGAACAACAAAGGCAACTTATGCAACAACGTGAGCTTGAGCTTCAAAGACAGCGTATGACGGAAATGCAGCGGCAGAGAGAATTGGAAGAACAACAACGATTGCAGCAGGAAAGGGAAAGATTGGCCAGAGAGCAGTTACTTAGTGAACAAATACAAAGGCAAGCTGAGGGAAGAGTTGCTGAATTGGAAAGAGAACTCTTAAACAAGAGAAGTCAGGTTGAACGTGATCAAATGATGCTGGAGCAATATGACAGGGTATGCTATAATGAGGTCCTTATTCTAAGTGTATTTGGATAAATGTATTAATCTTTTTTTGATACACGTGATTTAGAGGGTTAAAGCTCTCGAAAATGAGATGAGCAAATTAAATTTGAATGCACAACAACAGATTAAATCCAAGGATGAAATGATTAAAAATTTACAAGGTTAGTTCACACATCATATTAAAATTTGATTAAATATGCTTATATTTAATTATAAACATTTTCGTTCACTTAAAGATCAAATTCTAATGTGGAAGAATAAATACGAAGCTCTTGCTAAACTTTACTCACAATTACGTCAGGAACATCTTGACCTTATTAGTAAGTTCAAAGCCGCTCAGCTCAAAGCAAATTCTGCACAAGAAGCAATTGACAAGATGGAAAGAATGGAACGTGATATGCGTTCTAAGAACCTAGAGTTGGCAGATATGATAAGAGAGAGAGATCGTGCAAGACATGAATTGGATAGATTAAAGAGTGTATGATCTTTAATTTTATATTATATGGATATTTTCTGCCATTGTCCGGAAATAGCACATATATTTGATTTTAGATTGACACATATATTTCATTTGTTAGAGCCAACGGGAAGATTTAGAGAGAGTCAAACGTGACCTTACAGAAGCTAATGCTAGGGCAGATGACCTTTCTCGTTCAAAGAGCAATGAAATTAGCTCATTGATGTCTAAATTTAACAAAGAAAAACAGGAACTGGAAGATTCGATAAGAGTATGCATCTATAATTTTGTTTTTGTACATATTCCATAACTTATTTCAGAAGGATTATAATTAAGTTTTATGGAATTTCTCTTTATAGTCTAAGCAATCATATGTTGATGATTTATTGAGACAATTGGAAGGCAAGAAGCATGAAATTGAACAAGTAACACAGGTTAGCTGTCCTTAGTACACATACCATGATATATGTACGCTAACTTTTTTGTTCAAGTGCGCTAGTTCATGATGTCTGTTCATCAAATTGAAAGTAATAAATATCTTTGAAAATTGAAATAGGCAAAAGATGAGGAGGTTGCAATAATGCAAGCTGCGATGGATCAAAGCGTGATGCTTGTAGCACAAATGCAACAGGTTTAGTATCGAATAAGTATTATATTATTGTACAAAACATGTATACATGCTCTAATTAGAATACTATCGTAAATTGAAACGTCTATAGTCCACATCAGAATCAGAAAAATATCAAGCTAGAATTGATAATTTGATGCTTGATAACTTCAGAAACTTGAATGATATTCTCGGTATGTTTAATCTTGATTATTGTAAAGCCTTGATCATACAATATTGGATATAACGTTCTCTATTAAATCTTACAATCACAGACAGTATATTTCAAACATGTATTCAAAAGATTGATGATAGTTTGTATGAATTGGAGTCTCCAATGCAAGCTGGAAATCAAAATTCAACACCAGAGTATACTTTATCAATGATAGAGAAGGCGACAACTGAGGCTTCAGAATTCTCATCTTCTCTTAAAAAATTCTTACAAAACGATCGGACGAAAGATCATACTGAAGTGATCAAGTCTGCTACAAATTTCTCACAAGCAATTTCTGACGTGCTGATAAACGCTAAGGGTATTATACGTCTTGCTGACGAAGACGATGAAATAACAGATGAAATTGTGGGAGCTGCTAAAATGGCTGCAAATATGTCTCAGCAGTTCTTGTTGAATGTACAGTCGTTCAAGCTCGACAATTTGTCTGCATCACAAAGGCCTGAGGTGGTCTTGCAAAGCGAGATGAATGTTCAAAATGCTCTGCATAAGGTCTCTAAAGTAGTCGAAGGCATGTTGAGACATAATCTAGATGTTACTAACAGGGCCGAGGGTGAAATTGGCAATTTAGTAGAACAGGAAATGATGAATGCAGCCAAAGTAATTGAGGCAGCCACTGCAAGAATTCAAGCGTTGATGTTGCGACCACGAGATACTGGTCTTTCTGCTACCGAACTAAATGTTCATGATGCAATTCTAGAGTCTGCATTAGCTGTCACAAATGCTATCGCAAATTTAATACGATGCGCTACTGCTTCACAACAAGAGATTGTTGCACAAGGACGTGGCTCGAGTAGCACTGCTGCTTTTTACAAAAAGAACAATAGATGGACAGAGGGGCTTATCTCCGCAGCAAAAGCTATTGCGGTTGCCACTAATCTCCTTATAGAAATTGCAGATGGGGTCATTCATGGTACTCGTTCTCTCGAACAACTTATCGTCGCTTCAAATGAGGTTGCAGCCGCAACAGCGCAGCTTGTTGCAGCTTCAAGAGTTAAGGCAGATTTTATGTCAAAGACACAGGATCGATTGGAGGCAGCATCAAAAGCCGTCACTGAAGCCTGTAAAGCTCTTGTAAAAGCTGTGAAAGCTATTGCGGCGAAACAAATAGAGGGAGAACCGATTAACTACTTTGAACTGACACCTCATGACTTTAAGGTCAAAGAGATGGAGCAACAAGTGGAGATATTAAAGCTTGAGAAAGAATTAACCAATGCTCGAAGAAAATTGGCAGAAATGAGGAAGCATGGATATCACGACGAGGAAGACTAAGTTCTGAATACTTATATTATAATTTGATCGTAAAGTATCATACATATTGAATATATATTGAATATATAAGAATTAACCAATTAAAAAATACGAAATTATATTGTAAATCAATTTTTCCCGCCAAATTATAATAAATTATGGTTTTTAATACTACATAAATCAATACGCGAATTAAAAACGCGCTTACCGATTGGTTGGATTGCAAATAAAATTATTTTAGTAAAATCATTGTTTTAAAATCGATGTTTGAAATCTTATAGACTACTAATTCTTTTTCTAACCATTCACATATATCTTTTAACATTCGTACTATTTTGTCATTATCACTTGATGTTTTATTTTTGTTGGTCGTTTCGCGGCACTTCAGCTATCAAAATTTCAAATTACTTAATTTTTGACTGGTTTGTATAATTTTTATATAATTTGGATGTTTTTTATTCTGCCAATGAATTTAATTAAAATTTTAATATTGGTAAAAGTAAATGTAGATAATTAACTGGAAAAAAAATTACATACAGTTCATTTAACAATCCAACTGTATTTTACGTAGGCATTATCTTCTTGAACGGTTTGAGCCCAAAGGTCTTTAAATATTATAAGAGGATAATCATAACAGAATTTTAATTTTTATTTTTATATATTACAAGCATTTGATTCAAAACAGAAAAAAATTTTGTTTTTTATTTATAATTTATCAGGTTTTTAAAAATTATAACAAGAGAATTTGTGATATCTGATTTATTACACTTGGAGTTATGCAATAATACCTATTTAGATTTGTATATATTAATAAAAGCATTCACAATTTTTTCCATTTTAAATTCTTTTTTACAGTATCTGTTTATTTAGTTTTATTTTATTAAATATAACAAGTTAATTATATGGGGTGAGTTAGTAGAAATGGGACAAATTTATTCAATAAATTTGTTTCATTTTTACTAACTCACCTCTATATATGAAAAAGCCTACATCAACAAAATTTTTAAGCGGATATATATTGATATATAGCAGTTAATTGATATATATTAATTAAAAGTTATTGATATATATCGATTAAAAATTATTAATATATATTGATTAACTGCTATATATGATATATATTATCAATTAATAATAACTATCAATTAATAACAATTTTATAAGATTTGATAAATTTTTTCAAAGTTTAATATTAATTTTTTTAATCCAAATTGACTCAAATTTTGGATATTTTATAGAATAGGTGAGAATATAAGAAATAAGCTTTACTAATAGTTAGTAATTATTAATTTTTAATAATGGAGTTGCATCAAGCAAGGAGATAGTGAAAATTTTTGATAATACTGTGAAAAGTCAAAAACCAGAGACCGAAAAATCAGACAAAAATTCTGGAGCAAGAAGGATCTATCAACTTGGCTGCTGAAATCATACCAGAAGAAAAGGTTCTATATTATGAAATTAGAAACCAAAAGAAGTAAAACCAGAAAGTACTTAAAGCTTAGATACAACAATCCATCTAGGCTAACTGGTTTGGTAGTTTGGGAGTGATCGGTATAAGAACTGGTTTGATGTAGATATCGGGATTGAAACGAACTTTGTAAGGGTACTAAATACTGAAATTGTGCAGTTTAATAATTAGCTCTAACTGTTAGTGGTAGTTTTAGCTACTGCAGAAGGTATTTGTTGTTTAATCTGAAAATGCGTAAGACATAAAAAAATTAGAGGAATATATATTACACCTTTTCTAAAACAACCCAGTAGTATGAGAATTCTACTGGATTATCTATAGAATTAGGGTCAAGTAGAATAGTACATGACAATCTAGGTGGTTTTTAATTAAAGCAGCACAAGGTTATAGGCTAGTATAATTGTAGTGATGGTGCAGAACAGAAGATATCAGAGAGTTTAATTGAATAACTCAAATAATAATAGGTTATGGGTACAGCATCTAGTATAGATCCTAGTAATAGACAGCTATTTAATTAAACATTTAAAAGGTGCAGGTATAGTTGAATATACTCTTGTTAACCAAGAATGTACTACTAAATATACCTAATAAAAATTCGTCTTTTCACGACATTGTGAAAGTAAAAAAAAAAAAAATTAAAATAATAATAGAGTTGCAGAATTTGCAAAGTTTGCTCATCCATTCTATAGAACATTCCAAATTTTTACTACATATAGGTTATAAATTCAACATAATATAGTTATATTTTAGCTAATTTGAATTAGTAGTTCTTGAGAAATTATTTGTTAATGATAGTTAATTTTTTTAAAAAATTAACAATTATTAACAACCAACTTTTTAAGAATTACTAATTTAAATTAGCTAAAATTTAACTATATTATAGTTAAATTATAGTTAAATATATAATCTATATCTAGAAAATATTAAGTCAATTAAATTAGTAGTTATTAAGAAAATTTATATTAAATTTTAAAGATATTTAATAAATTTGTTATATAATAAGTAGTAGTAAGCATATTGTTAACTTATAGTAAATATAAAGTATAATTATTACAAAGTAATTATATAGTTACTTTATAGTTACTTTATAGTTAATTACAAGTAGCATTAAAATTGCAAATTTGTAAGTTTTAGTAAAATAGTAAAGAATAACTTAATTTTAAAGAAAGATTAACTTCAAACTATTAGAAATTAAAAACTTTAACCTTAAACTAAAGTTATTAAATACTAAAAAATATATATTTAAAATTTAAAAAAAGGTATATATATATTTTTTAAAATTAAATTTAAATATTTTTTGTATAGAGAAGGGTGTGGCGACTTAGTGAAGTGGTGAAGTTGTTGTACCCCAAGTGGTTGAGTATAGTTTCAATTCCTATAGAAGGCAAAAATTGGATTTTAAAAAAACAGATTCAGCAATTATCATTGTTGCTGAGAAAACTCAAGACCCTGTAACTGTGGTCATATCAAAATAAAAATTGGAAGGTTCTGGGATATTTGTATAATAAAGAAGTTATACAAAAGCATGCAAGCTGATTTAGTTAGTACAAAATTCAAAATAAGTTCTTCGGAATCGCAGAAAGTCACAGAGCTGATATGACAGTAGGACACTTGCTTAGGAAGTCCCAAATAGAGAGATAACACAGATCTTTGATGGTATTACATGCAGATTAATACTTGAAAAACCGGTTAAACTGAAAAGAACTGAAGTGTTTGGCAAGACACTCTGCTAACTATGCTGCTAGAGAAGTAATCAGAGAAAAAGGTCCTAATTGTGAGGACCAGAAGCAGGTCATAGCCCTTCTGGACTATCTGGATTGGTAGTTTGGAGTAGCTGGAATATGGATAATAGTTTGTAAGTGTATTGGGGTTTGGGGTAAACTCTATAAGGGCAGAAGTAGGTTGTATAGCAGCGATCAGGCCATAGTTAAGTTAAAAACATTACGAAAAAACCAGTAAGAACAAAACAGCCAGAGAATACTTCTACTATAGAAACTGGTGTACAAGCAGTGGCCTCAGCCCATGCATATCAACTGAAGCCTAGGTTAGCCAGATTGTGGGTATGGAAGGCTCTTGCAGGTTTATCTTAAGGATAAAAGGTTTAATAAGAGCTTGCTTTAAAGTTCTAAGTCAGATGTCTAAAAATAAAGTGGTACTATATATTCTTGATCAATTAGATGATTAATGTATATAGCAATATATATATAGTTTAGTATACTATACTGTAAAAGTTAACAATAATTGAATAAAAGGAGACGACCAAGAGGTTACTTTAACATCAAAAAAAACAAAATTTTTTTGTATAGAGAGTATAGCAACTTAGTAAAGTTGGTAAGTTGTTGTACCTCTAAGTAACAAGATAAAAGTTCAAATCCCACTAGCAACAAAATTCAAAATTTATAGAATATATTATGGCAACTGTGTGTAATCTGATAAATCAATGGATCTGTAGCTTTGGTTATATCAGCTTGTATTGAAAGGCTATAAAACAATTAGTGTAATATATAAATTACACAAAATTTGAGTAAAGCAACTGAGTAAATCCAAGAGCTGAGGCACACAAAAGCTTACTTGCAAGTTTTGAGTAGAAAGTTAGCACAAACTTTTGATGATACTATGTAAAGGATCATTAATCAGAAAACTAAAAAACTGGATAAGACTGAGGTTTTGGTAAAAGCATTATATTAATCAGACTACTGAGTAATCAGAGCAAGAAATCGCTCTTTTGAGCTATATAAATTAAGAGTTTTGAAAAACTGAAGGAATGGTAAATAGTCTGTATAGTGGGTGCTGGGGTTTGAATAAACTCTATAAGGGTAGAAGTAGGTAAGGGATGTAACAAAAATCAGATGATTTTTTAGGAAAGAAGAGTAGTAAAAAATTTAAAATTATATATAAAGATCTGATCAAAATATATATTAAAAGAGGTGGAGGAGATAAGCTTCTGATAAAAAAAAATTAGATAATAAATAATACTGCTTTAATAGTAGTAGTTTCAGCTTGCAAGTATTTGTTCTCAAACTTTGCATAAATTATCAAAGTCTAGGTTAGCCAGATTATAGATATGGAAAGCTCTAGCAACGATGCCTTGATGATAAATTAGTTTTAAGAAAATAAAGAAAGCATCTGTAACTTCTTGACTAACAAATGTAACAGAGATATATTGTAAGTTGTATTTATATATACTGATAAAATTATTTTAGATTTTAGAATATAAAATTAAAATTTAAAAACAAAATTGTTTTTAATCTATTTTACTTAAAAGATAAAATTTTTTAACACTTTTTTTGAAGAGATAAAATTATAAAGAATATAACTACCTAAATTAGATTTGCTCTTACATATAAAAAAATTTAAATTGCTCTAATGAAGATGAAATAGTGATATTTTGAAACCTATTTTGGTGGTATGTATAGTTGTATTACAGAAGTTTTAATAGATAATTCCCTAATTGAGTTATAGATATAGCAAATAGTATAGTCTCTACAGTATAATACTAATATGCAGACTATTTAAATAGAAAACCAAAAGTTGCATATATGGCTAGTTATAC